GGGCGGGTGCGAAGGGTACTCCCCATGTTTTTGTTAAGGGATAAATCATTTGGGGTTCTGCAGTTCTGCTGGTGGATGTCATTTTGGAATTAGGTAAGGTCCTGAAGCTTAATGGGGGTTAAAATCCTGGGTGGTGGATTTGTTGGACCTGATCCACCGATTGTGCGGAGGTTCTCCCATCTGGAACAAACCGATTTGGGTATGTCTGTCTCTTTGGATAGCATCGAAAGCCAAAGGAAAACCGCGAGCTGAAGGGACTCCTCTGTCTTAAGGTGGCTGGGAGGTTAAGGTCCGCAGTCAGCTTAGGGTCTTCCATTGCGGATGTAGTGTACTTATGCTGAGTGCTTTGCATTTGGCTTGGCCAAAAATGTTTGGATTGTCTATGTTTGGTTGGATTGTGACCCGGGGGTGGGATTGTCCATTCGAGGATTCTGAACAAAGTCCTTCCCCGCAAAAGTACGAATCTCACTTGGGAAATGAGAACAGCATCTTGCCATTGGATCCCCACCAAAAGGGGGGACGGCTAGCGGCTAACAAGTCCAAACAAGCGCTGGAACCTTAAAGCATTTAGGACCCCCTAGTTACACGTGTGTAGGCTTCCAGCTACAAAAGAGGACCGCTGCTTGCTAGCGATGAAGATTTCTGGTCGAAATCCCGCGAAATTTCACCCCCCCCTCGTTCATTGGTGCCAAACAGGGGGTCTGGCAAGAGTCAAATATTATCTGTCCCCGCTTGATTTCCTTCAAAGGGGGCCGCGGTTCTGGGAAAGCGAAGTAGATTCATTCGCTTTGAACAACCGACCTAGGTAGGCCATATTGAGTTTGTCTCAAAATGCCTTAAAACAACGGCGCCAACTGCAAAGAAACCACACCATTTGACTCCCATGTGCGTTGCCAAAAGACCAAAGATTGACCGGTTGGGCCCCTTTTAAAAAGGCTTTCACAGGGAGCATGGCACCGGCCTAAAAGGGTCCCTGGTTCCGACCAAAGCCAAGCGATTGAGGTAATCCAGGCTTTGCACTAAACAGGTTGATTCCCAAAACGCACGGCAAAGAACCAAAATTCTTGCCGACCTGTTTCTGGCTGGGAATGGCTTCAAGTACCCGAGTTTTGAGAAAGTGGCTCAACAAGGAAAAGCAACACATCACGCCATTGGCCAACAGAAGTGTAGCGATATCGATATTGCCTAATTTTCTTGTTTGGCTCACGGTCATGGTTCCCTTACAGGGTCAAGCTGAGGCCATGTGACCTTTAGCCCCCCCCCCCGCCCCGGGAGCATGAGAAACGGGGGCAAAAGCATTGCACCCCAGCGAGAGTTCCTCATGTGTTTCGGCCATGGACCACCACCAGTTCGACCAGCGCCCTGAACGGTTTCCCTACTTCACTCGGCAATATTCACCGCCAGTTCAACCAGATGTCAAAGGCCCCTCCAGAACTGAAGCAAGCAGCGGTCACCCCAAAGAGGTCACTGCCATAGATAGAATTCCCCCACATCACCCTACAGAAATAAAGTCACTTCACATAGCCCTAACAGGTGATGGTTGCGTCAAACAAAAGAACATATACGGACCTCTGAAGGACCAAATCGAAAAAATAAAAACAACAATACGGATCCCCGCGCTCGTAAACCCACAGTTGGATTCGTGTTTGAGTTTTGCCCAAACATTGTTCAAAGGCACCCACACGAGTCGGTGCTTGAAACGAACAGTTGATGAATCAGGTAAATATCTAGGCAAATTCAGGGACAACGAAGTTTTGACCTCCCCAAATCAACGTTTACATGCGTTGCTATTCTGTCGTACCCCGAATTAGCAAACAAAAGGTGCCCATCGCGATCTGGCAGGCAATCTAGTGGGCAATTAAACTTACATCATACGTACGTAAATAACAAGGGTGTCCAACATTTCCCAGCCCCAGGAGATATCTCTACCAACGAGTCGGCTTTCTGAAGGGTCAAAGGCCGTCGCACCCGGTCTCCGCCGTCGAAGCCACGCCGTCTCAGGCGCCAGCGTTGGTGCCGACGAGGCCTGAGGTGACCACCTGTGTGGGAAGGCGAGCTCGGCCGGCCAGCTGGGGGGTGGGGGTTGGGTTGGAGGGGTTGAAGGGTTGGGGGGATTTCAAAGGGTTGCTCCAAAGCCTGTGATTGGAGGAGACTACAGGGCACAGGCTCGTCGAACCTTCAGGGCAAAACGACCCAAGGATAAATTTTGTCATAAGAGGCGTACGAAGCGGGGTACCTGTTTGGGGGAACCGGTCTGCTCAGAAATGGACAAAAAGCTGAGCATTCCTACCAACAAAGGACGGAAGGAAAATCCATAGTTGTGGGAAATGTTTGCCCTGGTCCCGTGTCAATACCCATGGGTATATATGTTCATGCAACGTAAATCAAAAGTATCCAAATTCCCTGTGACTCTGCTTGACGACTGATTCCAATCCGCATTACAACGAGGCAGGGATCGCAGAACCCATTTCCCACAACCTTTGCTTTTGTGGATGAGTGGCATAGTTGAATTCGGAAACACTAGATCAGTTGTCTATGAAGAGTGCTGCATACCTCGACTGTGGCACCCCTCTTGGGTGTTGCTTTGTCAAGCACTCTTCAGTCTCAAAACCGAGACTGGCCTGCCGAGTTCACGATTCGGCCAGAAAAGGCTTTCAATTCTTGGGCCCTTTGATGTCAACTTCGGATTGATCCGGAGGAGTCTCGTCGGAAGTTGACGACAATGATGAACTTGCGAAACCAGCAGCTCAACATTTGCCAAGTGTGTAGGGAAGCTCACAGGCCCATCTGTTGCGAAACGCCAAGCTCCGACTCTTTTTCCCCTGCGCGTGCGTGCCTATCAGCTCAGCCTGGCCCATTTGAAGCCTGAGAGTTCTTGTTGCCCAGCGCATTGGGCCCCTATGTTCAGGGGCCGATTTCTAACGCAGGTCGCGCCGAGGCCGAGTTCTACTGTTCTGGCCCGGCAATCTTTGATCCGCGATCTCCGTCACCGCGTTCTGCCGCGCGAGCTCCGCATTTACCATCTCCGCCTTCGCCGCGAGCGTTCCCCTGGGCCAAGGCCAGTTGCCCAGTCACCCTAGCTAACTCTTTTTGGAGGTTGACCATCTTGAGTGCGGAATCCACCCAACGGCAAACGTTTTGTTGAGTGCCACTGAACCACTGGCAGCGCCTCAAACACAATTGGTTCTCAACACCTTTGACTCGTTGGCGAACCTTCAGGAAAGGTGTCCAACTAGACCCAAAGGTCCAAAATTGGGTGTGGTTCTTTGATGGGCGCTCGTTCTGGGGTGTGTTCACTGCGTGTTCAAAGGAAACTCAAACAAGCCCCCTCGAAACAACGACCACACTCATATCATATCTGTTGGTTGCTCTTGTGATGCAGTGGGTGACTTATTTCACTCTGCCTTGAAGTTGCCTTATAGAACCACTGCCTTCAAGTTTGGGGCGTTGGGGAGGGTCTATTTGAGACAATAAGGAGATACCAAGCGCAACCGCAATCTAAAAGGGTCAGCGGCGTCCGGAAACGGGCTGATTTGACTTCTTGGGAGGGTGCCATTTCGGAGGTGACGGAAACAACCATTGTAGGGGTCCCTGACTCTGAAACATATCCGTTTCTACATGTCCTTTCCTGCTCTGCGAACGGGGATGGTAATTAGGCACGCATTGTACGTCAGCCAATTCTGATACCCCACATGGTCGTGGAAAAGCACCCTTGTGATGCCCAAGAGTGCCATCCTGGTTTCTTTGTTGTTTGAAAAACAAACAGATTGGTACAGGATGTTGCTTTGAAACCTAAGTTTCGCATGCACTTCCGCGTATGTGTTCGGTGCCGGAAAGCAAGAAACACGGTTAACAGGAATTGCATCGAGGTCGATTCACAAATTCAGCAAATGGATATGTGCTTGCAAAAAACTTGCTTCGTTCTTAGTCGGCAGCTTGTAACATGTATCTGGACTCTACTGCTTAGAGGCCTGGGGTTTGGCTAAATGCAGCCCTAGTTACAAGGATTCAGTTTGCCCTCTTCCTTGCTTTACTTCATGTGTCCCCCAAGGGCCTCCCCAAGAGGGGCCTTTCCAGACTTGAGGAATTATGACCGAGTCCAACATTAAGCCTTATTAAGCCTTATTAAGCCTTATTAAGCCTTTTTTAAGCCTTATTAAGCTTTATTAAGCCTTATTAAGCTTTATTAAGCCTTATTAAGCCTTATTAAGGCTTAATAAGGCTTAATAAGGCTTAATAACGCTTAATAATTTGATATTTAGATGAGAATGCTCAAAACGGACATGTTCTCTTATTTTCAACAATCCTTCAAATCCGCCATCTCGAAAAACATCCAGCCTAGAACACATGCCCCAGGATTCTAGTCAAAGTACCATACTTCGAAAAGGGACCAAAACATCGTTTCTTTTTGAGAAGTAAAAGGGGTGGTAGGGGAGGGGAGGGGAGGGGAGGGGAGGGGAGGGGAGCGGGGATAAGAGGGGGTGGGGAAGGGAGGGGGGGGGAGGGAGGGGAGGGAGGGGACGGAGAAGGGGGAGGAAGGGGGAAGGGGGGGCCAAAGCGTGTCCCTGTGCAGGTTTTTGTGGGGGGGCCTCCCCACCACATTAAGCCATATTAAGCCTTTTTAAGCCTTATTAAGCCCTATTAAGCCTTATTAAGCCTTATTAAGCCTTATTAAAGCTAATTAAGGTTTAATAAGCTTTAATAGGCCCTGCTAGCAAACAGTCGTATTTTCCTACATTTTGGAACCCCTCCGAAATTCTTGCTTGATTTGGGAGACTGGGCTGCCTCAACATTACACTGGTGATCTAAACCACCTCACTTGGGAATCGCAGCAGGTTTGGCTTCTCGCTCCTGATTTGCGGGCCCCACCTTTGCCGTTACCTTTGCACTTGGCGGAGTTGAGCAATTGCAGCTAGATTCGAGCAAAGTACCCCCAACAACGCTCACACATCATGAAAAACACAGAAAACCTGAACCAACATTAAACATGCAAGAAAACCAAATCTGGGGAGGCCCTCCCTGGGGAGGCCCTTCGGGGACACATGATTACTGCCTTGCCAACCGCACTCTCCGCACTCTGGGTGCCTTCCTCGTACCACTGACTCCCCGAAGTTACCACAGCTCCACAGAGCGCCCTCAAGGGCATTTTCGGGAATGGGCTTGGCAGGATTGGGAGTATGGCTTGTATACCAGCAATGTAAGCCTGTAAAAAGTACCTCTAATAGTGGAATGCGACTATACAACCTTAATACCTTAATTCCTCAAAGTTCGATGCCTCATCATCGCCTGGATTGGAGCCCTTTGCAAAATTACATATTTGGTGGTGCACCATGGACACACGGTGGCCCCAAGCAAAATCGGCTTGACGTGTCCACCATACTGGAGAGGAGGGGATTCCAACCCCCCCCCCACAGAAAAAACTACCTACTTCAAACAAGTTGGTAGCAACTAGTGGAGGGGGAAGGTCGGGGGTGGTTGGGGGTGGTTGGTCAGGTATTTGATCCTTCCCACCATCTGCTCCCCTACCGGTCCGAGGCACTGACCGATCCTGTCAATCCGCGATCTGATCACCTGGAGGCATCTTAGAATGGAGAACTCAAGTTTTGAATTTGGGTCTGCCGTCAAACCTCCCCATAGTTGATGAGAGGGAAGCCAACAGGACAAAACTAATTATATTTCAGCGCGCCTTTAGTTCAGGGCCTCTGTTCAGAGTGCCCTTTTCGGGTGGATCTCAGAGACATGAAGGCGAGGGAAATCAAGGGGAGAGCCAACCACTTCGGGCGTCCCTCAAGGAGACAAACCCATTTCGGGTTTAGGAGTCGTTGATGTACGTGGTTCCTCAACATGCCCCTTCCGGGATTTCCATCAGTCTCAGAGTCTATGTACCAGACAGGGGTACACCCTGGGCAATTAAACATGACAATCCGGAAAAAAAATGAGAAAAAATGAGCAGTTTCCAGTTGGGCCGACCATATTCTCAGGGTACGCAAAACGTAAACTCTTAGACTCTTAGAACAATGGGATTCTCCACCAGACACCCTGAGCCAAAAGGTCAAACACTGAGTTTGTTGGAACCCGTTCGCTGCTAAGGCGACCAAAACATGGGATACCCTCACAAACACATTCAGGGGTCCAACTCCCTCCTTTCAAATGTGACCAAGAGGAGAACCAATTTTGGTTGCTGCTCTACATTTGCTCGTTCGGGCTTTGGTGCCGCACGCGCCGCGCAAAACCCCACCTTTTGGCCCCGTCCACGTGGATGCCCACGGTGCCGTTGAAGCTGGGCAGCTTGGCAAGGCCGCCCTTTAGGCCGGAGGCCTGGCGCGCCACAAGACGCTAGAAGCATCGAGCAACTCCCTTTGGCGTTGGTTGATTGCTTGCTTGCTTGGCTGGTGGGATGGGGCAGGGCAGGGGCAGGGTGCAGTGCGACTGGTTGGTTGGTTGGTTGAAGGGGCAGGACAGGTGGCGGTGCGACTGGTTGGTTGGTTGGTCGAAGGGGCAGGCGGCGGTGCGACTGGTTGGTTGGTTGGTTGGTTGAAGGGGCAGGCGGCAGTGCGACTGGTTGGTTGGTTGGTCGAAGGCGGCGGTGCGACAGCCGGCGGTGCGACTAGAGGGTTGGTTGGTTGAAGGGGCAGGCGGCGCGACTGGTTGGTTGGTTGGTCGAAGGGGCAGGCGGCGCTGCGACTGGTTGGTTGGTTGGTCGAAGGGGCAGGCAGCGGTGCGACTGGTTGGTTGGTTGGTTGGTTGGTTGGTTGGTTGGTTGGTTGGTTGGTTGGTTGGTTGGTTGGTTGGTTGGTTGGTTGGTTGGTTGGTTGGTTGGTTGGTTGGTTTGTTGGTTGGTGGGATGGAGCAGGGCAGGGCGGGGCAGGGTGCGGTGTGACTGGTTGGTTGGTTGGTTGGTTGGTTGGTTGGTTGGTTGGTTGGTTGGTTGGTTGGTTGGTTGGTTGGTTGGTTGGTTGGTTGGTTGGTTGGTTGGTTGGTTGGTTGGTTGGTTGGTTGGTTGGTTGGTTGTTTGGTTGGTCAGTGGGCGCATGTGCCCAAAACAGAAAGCCATTCAGCTATGTCTTTGAAAGGGGAACTGGCTCGAAATCTTTGGGCACACTTTCTGTCCACCAAGTGGTTCCACTTCAATCTTACAACCAACCAAAAGTTCCAAGTGTTCACCCTTTCCTCCCCCTGTATTCCGCCTTTGTTCCTTCGGCCTGGCGGTAGCCTACGTAGCTCTGCCCATCGTGATACTGGAGCTCCAAGCCCTCCGCAAACTCACCAGCCACCTGCGGAAAAAACGAATCAGACCGATTCGAATACAATTGCCGGCCACTCAGTATATACAAGTAGCTGGATCCGCTGATGGGCCTGAAAAAAGGAGTTGTTTATCCCATGAAACCTCTCGGGGTATTTATGAGGGGGGGTACTGGAGACCATCTTAGATTCTGGCATCCCTTTGACAAGTCAGCCTGAAAAACATGACCAAATCGAAATTCAATTGGACTTGGCACACAAAGGGACACACAATATAATTACAAGGATCAATGACGATCGGGAAACACACATTCTACATGTGTGCCTGTGCGAAGATGAACAAGGAAACTACCGACAAGTTGTTAGTGTGCCAATTCAACAAGCAAGAGGATCCTGGATCCTACAAGCAAAACAAAACCATATACTGCGATGGACCTCTTTGCATGCCTGTAAACCAAGGCTCTTGACATGAGAACACCCTATGTTGCATCCAATGCAGTGATGTTTAAAACAACCTTTCAATGCCATGTTTCTTTGCAGCCCGCCACTAAGCATGAAAAGAACACAACAAGCTCAAACGACCAACGCACATGAACCAAGAACGAATACGCAACATGTACAGGTTCTGCGGGAATTATCACTGGGTCGTGCTTGCTTACATTAAACAGGCACGCCTTGTCAGACAATGAGGAATCCAAATACAGCAGAAGCCCTGGCGGTTCCTGGTGGTCAGGGTTCCATCGTAAGGTTACCCCCAAGAAGACTTAACTGGGCCAGAAACACGAAAGTCAACTTTTTGACGGTCAGGGAAACGCAAGCGAAACCACGAGGCAAAGGATAAACGGGAGCTATGTCTGCCAATAACAATGGAATGTAACGAGGAGGAACCAACGTCAGGGGCGGCGCTACTAAAAAAATAGCCAAGTATACAACCCCAATAAGGCCTTATATATTCAGAGTTGATGGGTAATAGCTCCCTTTTCTTTGTGTGTGCGTGTTTGCTTTCAAGGGTACCCTTTTGGTGTGTTTTCTCCAGGCGAAAAAAGGCAAGCATTGGTGCTTGGCTGCTTTTGTACCGCGAAAACCATCCAAAACGGGACCCCGATTTGGAGACCAAAGGGTTTGATCGGCGCGCGCCTCAGACTGTAGCAGCTCCACGCAGGCCACACTCACCTCAAGAAATCCGCGAAGCCGCCCTGAAAGGGAAACAACCTGTGCCCTTGGACAACACGCGGAGAAGCTCAAGGCCCAAATGCTGCACGTGGCGTTGCTTGTTGGGCCCCTGAAGCAACAGCACAGTACAAAGCAACAAAAGCTTGACTCTAGTCAAGGCCCACTACAAGCAACCTGCTTTTGTCTGGTCAAGGGGACCATGAAAGCACCGAGACGCCATGCGGAAGTTTGCGGCAGTTGGCGCTATACACGAGGTCCGGAGCAAACAAATCATTGTCCATCTTTCGGATCCCTTTCGAAGAATCAACTAAGAAACCACACCCAACGAAGTCGGGCTGGCTTGGCAGCCCCTTGGAACTATGAAGACTCCCCCTTGCACGCTGCTGGATATGTTGGCAACTTTGAACAGGTGAAATCACAGATATCTGAAAGAAACACTTGAGATAAAAGCACTCTCCTTGGGCTTGCTTTTGATACATACCCTGAAATTCAGGGCAGCTCTATCGCAGCAAATGTTGCGTGTGTGCTCATCACTTTCGTTTGGCTTCACCTGTGATACTGGCTTGATTCAGCGACCTCATCCTCTTCTAGCCGCTCAATAGGAGGCCTGAAGAAATATAACAAACAGGCCCATCCGTCATCCCCTTCTGGCGTCCCTCTGGGAAAATCGAAGATTGTGTATTCAGTCCCCAGTTTTGCTTCAGCCTCCTGCTGGTGTTACACTTTAGGGCAACCTGCCGAAAGGCCGCTTGAACCTGTTCGAATCAAGCCGGGGGCTTGAACAGCTTTGACTTTTGGGCTTCCTGTCACCACCGCAGTGTCAAAATAGAGGGACCCTGAACATGGTGAATCCACCAAAAGATGGTACCCTTCAAAAGACACCCAAAGGACAGATTGAAGGCTTCAAGACTTTAAGTCTCAGACAAGTCAGCCTACCTTCAGTGACTAAACAAGCACGTTGCAAAATTACACACAACGCGCAACTCACACGCCTTGAACGTTTCTAGGGATCCCCCTCAAAACCGTTGGTCGACAAAGTCATCCACAAGGCTTGAAACTTCAGAGCGGTGATAAATTGAGGATCTCGATGTGTGTCATTTGCTTTACCACCCACTTGATACTTGTTGGTTCCTTTTGTGGATGTGTTTCAAAAAAGAGGCAAAACCTGACGATCTAGCAAAGGCGACACTCGAGCCAATTGATGCCTCCGGCGCCTCGTGCTCACCTCCAACGCCAAAGCCTCAAACGGAGGGCAGCCGCAAGGATGGTTGACAGGGTTGCTTCGCGCGTCTGCAAAAGAAAGCCGGTGACCCAAGCAAACCAATTCTGTTTGGGGTTCAGCATGTAGAGTGGGGAACCCACCGTCCACCAAAAGAGGGATTTGACGGTGATTGCCACTGAACTGGGGCGTTGTCCCATAGCAAGACACACACCGAGCGAGCCCAAACAAAATGATCCCAAACGCCCATCAGAATGATTCTTGTGCCACTTTGCGCAACTTGGCATGCCTCCTGAAGGGGGCAGCCATGCACTTTTCCTCGCTTGCGGCAATGACCCCAGCGTCACAAGGGTAGAGCATTGGGGAGGCGAAAGGAAATCAAAGGCACATGTTTACCAATTACCTACCCTGTGATGTGGTCGTCTTTTATAGGCTTGGAGCATCCCTGAACAAGAAAAAGGGGCCATCCTCACTTATCACACCGCGAGCTTTGTCCATGCTTGACCTCCCTCATACCGATGGCATCGTTAGCCTCGCTTGTGTGGCCATGTCATCACAATTGCGGTCTGGTGGTTTGGCGATAGTTGGCCCTCTTCTCTCAACACATCCGTCCGCGGCGACAGACTGCTCTTGCGTGATGTGACATGGCTTTTCCACACCAACTTTGAGAAGCTCCCATCATGCTCCGAGTAGTGGACAAAGTGCTTTGCTAAACTCAAAGCTATGCTGAAGTTGGATGGTCCCCTATCGGATTTCAGTGAGTCAAGGAAAAAGGGGGTATCGGTCTTGGGTGGCCCCCTGTCAGATTTTGTTATGCGGAAGTTGGATGGTCCCCTATCGGTTTTCAGTGAGTCAAGGTTAAAAACGGGGTATCGGTTTTGGGTGGCCCCCTGTCAGATTTGTGGGCTTTTGCCGATTTTGCCAAGGCGCCCCGAATACTACCAAAGACTACCGATGGTTTTGTCCAATACTCATGTGAGGGCTGTAAAAGGGGTATGACCGCCCCCCGAACCACTTCTGTGATTCCCTTTTAAGGTCAAGGGCACAGGTGAACAAAATTGGAACCCTGTCCTTTTGACAACTCTCGCATGATCGCCGGGCATGGTACACTTGCATTTTGTTGGACTGGTCTGTGTGCGGCTTTTGCGCCCACTGAGCAACGGATTTTGCAAAGATCTGGCAATTTGCAATGGAGTTCTTTTGATAAGCCGCTGTGAGTGTTTCGTTTGCTCCCCGCACACTCATAAGAGGGGCAATTTGGCAGGCAAGTCTCGCCACGAAATGCAAGGTCCAAGCATCAGTCCGTACATGTGACTGGCCTGATTTGCGCACGCCACTTGCTCCTGCCTTGTGCACGTGTTTGTTGCCGTTCATGAGTTTGACCAAACTCCGTCAGCAGCACAAACTTATTCAGGGTTATCACATTCTTTATGCAAAAGAAGGGGGGCTCCTGATGTGAGAAAACACCTACACACACATTCCGAGTTTGTCAGTGAACGCCTGCATCTCTGCAAATGGCAAATCCAAGTGAGGATGTGGAAATTGGCCACCCCTTTTAACGGCCTTTCATACATCTGGCACGTGAAGCGGAATTCAAGGGGCCTTCATGACATGCACGACCGAAATAAGGAATCCCCACGTTGGTTGGTCTTTGGCCCAAGGGGCTGAAGCCGATGTAGCAGCCGTTGGCATCGCAGGGCTGGCCCGACACCCAGGCGCCCTCCGCCTGCGAAGGGACTGCGAGCAATACCCTCCCATGGAAGTGCATGGGTTTGTGCACAGAAGCCCAAAAGGAGCCTATGCACTTCCATGTTTGGTTGGTATGAGGTTACTACTTGCCAAGCTAGAAACTAGGGAAGCTTCCTGAAAAATGTGTTGTTAACATGCGGGCAGCCCCGCAAAATCCAGCCCGTCATCCGTGGGACACGTTTACAAGGAACACCACCACCATCCGGAATGAGGATTGTTGATTCATTGACAGCCCAGCCAAAGACAGATTCAATATTCATGGAGTTTGCTTTGAGGAAGCTGTTCTCCTGGGTAAGCTCGCCACTCAAGGGTATGATGTTAAGCCCTGGCTAGGAAAGGATATATTTGCCAGGGAAGGTTCAATTGTTCACAACCTATTCTAGCAGTGACTTTACTTGGAGCCGTCCCCACATAATAAATGCTCCTGGCTAAACTCGACTGCGGCCACGTCATTGAAACTGCTTGCGAGGCCTCAAGCATGCTGATGGCTGATGTGACGGCAAAGCCAACATGGAGCCGAGGCAGCACTGACGCCCAGTCAATAGCAGCCCGAGCGGATACCGAAATCACGCTTCATCAGGGACACTCCGATTCTTCGAGGGGCCAGACAAGCTCTTGTATAGGACACGGCGCTTCAGGTGTCGGACTGCCTCCTGTCCTGGCCAGGCTGTCACGGGTGCAGGAGCCTCAATCTTTGGGCTGGCACCGCTCCTCGCCCAGCCACACGGACTTCAGGCCGGCGGGAGTTTTGGGCCGCCTGTCCTGCCCGGGCACTACTGGCAGGAGCCTCAGGCTTCGTAATGCGGTCACCGCTGTTTATCACATCTACCTATCACACTCTGTCGCAGCTGTCCGCCACAAGCTCTGTGTCAGCCGTCTGTCACATGTCTGGCACAGCTGTGCAGCTGTCTGTCACATCCTTCTGTTACAGGCGCCATCGCAGCCGCGTGTCATCGGCGGGCGGGCTGGCTCCGGCGGTCAAATGTGACTCAAAATCTAACAACGGCGTGAAGTTAATAGAACTTAACGCTACTCGGCGGTTGGAAGTTGAAAACAATCCTTTTCAGCAAAACACTTACGCGCTATTTTTGGTCAAACACAAATACAGCAAAAACGACACACTTAACTTGGCTTTCCATATTTGAAGGCAAACTCCTCCTTGTAAATGGCAACATCAACCTGCCCAACTTTGATCCTCCACAAAACAAGAAATTCCTTTGGGCCCCTGAATCATGGGTCTCTCACTTGCAAGTAAAGGACTTAGTTTAACCGAGGTGAACGTTTATCAAAACTTCTGGAAGCCTTTGGAAATTCAACTGGTAAACCGAAAGATCAGATTCTAGGGCGGATTCGCTGGTCAAGTGAGGCTTGGGTTGGCCGGGGAATCAAAAGCGAACTGGCCCAATGGAGGTCTCACCGTAACGCTCCCAAGGCTTCCACTACCCTCAAACACATGGAGAAAGTCTGGGTATATCATTCTATAGTGGATGCATGTTGCTTATATACACAGTTTTCCATGAAGGTAGTGGATTCGAGGTAGCGAAGCTTCTTTGCGGGCCTCAAAATCATTGATCAACAGCGCACAAAGACACCTTCTACATGGATGACAGCTCTGACAACCGTGGTAGGTGAGGTCGGTATACGCAACCAGCAGATGTACCAACACTCTTTGCGGCGTTTAACCAAACACACAACTCCAAAGACCAGATGGGAAGTACTTCCAAAATTCCACACTCATAGGGCGCTCTATTCTTCAGCCCTTTTGATAGGGATGAACACCAGGATATATCGAGGTGAACAATGAGAATTTACTTGGGTTGCTCCGCCCCGGAGCGAATGGTCTCACCTTCTGTGAGTTTACTGGAACCGACTGTTGCTTCCGACACCCACATCGCGTTCTGTGTGCAGCACTAAGACGTAACACCCACAGACCTGGAAGGCCCACTTTGGGGCCTAAACTTCCAATCACTGGCTTGTGCAGCCATGAAGAGATGGGCCGTAGGACCCTTAAGACGATCGCCTTGCTTCTTGGATCAAAAGGTCTAAGTGCAAAATCACATGCTGCCAGTCCCCAGTTTCGTCGCAGCCCCGAATAGCTTACCAAAGGTGGCTTTCAACATGGCCAATATTCATTATTAAGCTTGTTTTGGGGAGCAACCTTTTTGGGAGAATATGAACGGACACCAACGGGGAAACCCATGGTCTTGAGGGTTCCCCGTTTCAAGACACGTCCATGTATCCTCCAAGAAACCCTGATCCACTCCAAACGAAAAGAGTTGAGCGCCTCGACTCTGTGAGAAGAAGCATGGAAGCGCGCCTCAAAGATGTTGGCCGGCATGGGCCCCGGCTTCGAAAAGGCAGCACCATTGGGCAGCACGGCGCCTTCCGTAGCCAATTGTTCATATGTGTAATATGATATGTACAGATTGGTCTATGAAGTATGTATATACGTCTATAATATAAATAATGTGTATATATATATATATATATGTATATATATATATATGTATACATACATATCTTACACGCGCTATCCCCACTCCCAATTTCATTAACCTAGTCACGGGGGGTTGCCCTTATAGCTTTGTCCACCACATGCTTCTTCCTCTTTTGCCATGCCGCCATGATAAACAACCAGAAACACATCGGAAACACAGAGAAACCAGAAGTGTCACAGACTCGTTGCTGAACCTGCTCTATGATAACAACTGCAGGGAACGCCTCGATAAAACTAACAAAAACAGGACGCCAGAAGTATTACAACCTTGTGGCATCAACCAGAACAAAGACTGAAGAAAACCATAATAAAGACAGCCTACCCTCGAGAGAAAAGAAAACAAAAAAAGAGAAACAAACAGCCCAGATGTGTGGCAAAGTCATAGTTCTCATGATCAGATATTATGTGCTTCCTGGTTTGGGTACTTTTCTCGAGGTCGGTCTGTTTTTTCTTCTTGCTTGCTTATCGTTATGTGTTTGCTGTTGTGGTTGTATCGGGTCCGGGTATTGTCCTGGTGTTATTACATTTTGTTCTGGATTCCTTCTAATGAATTCAATTAGGGAACTCCTGATGTCCCATCCAAGGCTTGATGAGCCTGCTTCAGCAATCTGACATGCAAGCTTCAATACATTGAATCCTACTGCAATGCTGTTATATCTGGCATTTAGAGGTTCTATCACCATGTGTGCAAGTCTTGTAAAGCAAGCTAAATCAGCAATATTCGCAACGAATGTATCACCTGGCACATGAGCAGCTACTTGCAGCAGTGCAGCAATGACTAACACAAGTTGGAAGGTATGGCGGATAAACCATCTGGACACAACACATTAAGTCAACATGATCATTCTGGTACCACAAGGTCCAATAATGGCAACTGGAATGATTATGCAGAGATGGCATAGCCGGAAATTGGTCTCCAGTTTCTATTCCTGCCATAGCATCTAGAAACACGTTTGACCATGTTAGTTGAGGTCGAATGAGGATACAGGATCTAAATTGTAGGAGGCAAAAAACCAGCTACGAGACTCACTCCCTTGAAATCGCCTGACATGGAAATCGGGGGGTCATGTTCCAGTGGGGCCAGGACGTGATGCACTGCAAGGTGGGCCGCTCTGCGTACATTCTCCGACTACGATGATATAAAAAGGCATTTTTCCTGCCTTTGCTTAGTATTGCAACCAACAAATTGAACAGCTGTGTTCTTGCCCAGGCAATTAGTTGCTGCTTTCCAGCCGCTGGAGAAACCAGTGCAAAGGCGTAAGGCCTAAGGGCAGTCTCGTGAAAAGTTGTAAGTCAATGCTAGGCCAAACTTCAACACTGCAAAAGTGAACTTTTGCCGGTAAGGGAAATGAAGGAAGGCCAAACGTGCACGAGGGCAAAACGGTGTGTCAAGTCCAGCGATGACAGCCGGTCCAGAAAGGGAGAAGGCGAACTCCCATTAAAGGCATCCTTGAATCAGCCCTTGGCAGCGCGTAGGTAATGCTCGCCTCCTACTGTCGAAACAGTTCTGCGGCAAATTCAAACACAACCACAAACACTGAAGGAGCCTTGATCAAAGATATCCCGCAAGGTGGTGTTCAGTCACCAAAAAGGCAAGCACAGTGGCCGCAACGAACGTGCGCCTTCACGGAGAGTAGAGAGCAGCGGGTCCCGGTAGGGCGATGGGAACACAGCCACTGCACGCTCGCCTTCGCGAAAGACCAGGGGTTGAGTCCAAAAGCCCCCTTCACCTGAACTCAAGGGCAATTGCGGATATGTGGCCTGGAGGTGGAGAGCGCACGTTCCACTTTAGAGATAGCCTTGCAAGCTTAACCTGGTGGTGAAAAAGTTGTAACCCACAAAGGGGTTTCACCCAAGTGGTGGCTTCGTTTGGAGCTACGGGGTTAAGTCCCCAAACATCATATGGGTTTAGATGCTAAAACAAAGCAAAATGGCCCCAGGTGGAACTTCGGTAGAACATTGGCTCGTGGGCCTTTGGATGCTTAGAACAAGAAAAAGGCTCAGAACTCCCCTGACATGCGGCGGGATTAAGTTCCTGAATCGTTTCCAAGGGCACGTGTTTGGGATTGTTTTGAGTGGAGGAGGGATCAGGCCTCTTTGCTTAATGAAACAACTCCTTGCCTGACTGCTGCAAGAAGTCAAGCTTTCGCTATTCAGAAAGGACCCTCTCTGGTGGTGTTACTACTTGATGTTGCCGCCAACAAGGCTCACACCCATCAAGTCCTCACTCCCTGAGTGGATTGGTCCAAAAAAGTGACCATCTGTTTTGCTTACCACCAACATAAGCTTCTCAACAAGACTCAAGTCCAGAAACAGACAAAAATAAGAACTAGATCTTGAGGGCCAACGAGCGCGTCGAAAACCAGCCCAAGCATCCCAACCAAAAGCAACTTAAAATGCCTCAATCAGTTTCCAAATAGGTTGGCAAAAAAAAACAAACGTTTATCGTTGGGAGTTTAAGGTGGAGTTGGCCCATACGAGCACAAGGCAGCGCGTTGAAATCAAAGTAGTTTTGCTGCGAAACATGGCTGTTATTGAATAGATTTCGTCACTTACACTTTAAGCAAGAGTAACACTTCAAATGGTATCCTATTCCTCCGGTTCCCAATTGATAGAACTTGCAGGCTTTCAACAGTTCCAACTCTTATTTTGGTCTCATTCAGACTTGAAAGACAGGTTCCTAGGCTTTACCCATCGCTGGGAGACAAAGCCATGTCGTGTCAAACCTGGGAACTGGGGTGGGAAAAGGAATCCAACATTTACACTTCACACTTTGCTTCCACTTTAAACAAGCCCAACATACAGCAAAGATTCACCCCAAACAAGAAGCACATGCCATAGTCTAACAAGGGATGGCAATGAGGGCAATTCTAACAGACCTCACTTGAGTGGTTGCTTGGTCCACCACAGAGCGTCTTAGCAAATCAGAACACTCCGCCTTTGGGGTTCCCTTGTCGGAAAATTTTGCCCGGGCCCGAATCACAAACTATGGATATAGGTTGCTTTTCGTTCAAAAAACCACAATTCCCCCATTTCTTTTAGGTTCGATGAATCTAACATGGCTACCTATGGTTGGTATTTACCTTGCAGAAACCAGCCAGACTTGGACCTGCGAAAGGATAACTTGTTGCTGGTTGAAAGGGAACATGAAGAACACCAAAAAGGCAAATAGTGAAAACATGTAAGGAAGCTACCCACAAACCCCGGCAATGGGATATCCTCCGAAACGAGCTTGCGGAATGACATGTTGCGTTGATCTGCAGGGGTAAGTCTGGCGATGTTTGGGTATATCTCGAAATAGGGGGGGACCACCAAATATGGTGGTGTTTGTTCCTTTTATGTTGGTCTTTCGAGGCAAAAAAGGTAGTGTCAAAAACAGCACAAACCCACGGCTCTTCGTTTCTGTCGGGTTCGCCGAGGTGCAAGACACGTCCGAGAACATGCGCAGGCGCAGCAGCTTCCACTGAGAGCTCACAGAGGTGGTGGGCACCACTCGCCATCTGGGAAGAGGGTGCAGGAAAAAACGGCGCCACAAAGACCTACCATCCAACGACATGGTTCTCTCTTTCTTTGGACGAGTGGGAAACATTCTGGGAAGCCAACGAAGCGCCATTTTGAGG